AAGTTCATACATCAGAGAAAACATAGTTTGTGATTTCCTAAAACATGGGATTTCCGACCTCCCACTTATTGTCAATTACTGGATTTGCATCCAGGATAGTTTCACCTATTAAGAAGTTTGACCCATGGACTTTCTTTATTTAATAACAAGCTTGTCATACCAATCTATGAATCCTGTTTTATTCACGAGTTCAATAAAACCTTCTTGTTCAAACTAAAAAGAAATAAATAAAACAGTTGTAGGTTATTTCCTGGTGGTTTACGAGATACTAGACATCAGGCTCCATAATTCTGGACCATTCTCTATTTCGGCTAACATTTTTGGTTATCGAATTCATCACAACTATAAGCAACAATGAGAACGATGTTTCTAAGTGCAGTTGTTTACTGAATTTTCAGCCGCTATAGGCATATGGATGTGATTACACTCCCAAGACAATGTAATTTCAGATGAAAAAGGCTCTAGGACTGTACCTCAAATAGCTGGTTTATATTATCTGCTGTCTTAGCGGATGTCTCGATAAAGAACATCCCATTCTTTTCAGCACAGTCGATTCCATCCTATGAAAAAGAAAAGGAAATTTGTTACTGTGGAATTTATCAGCTAATATTTTCAAAGAGGAAGAAAGCATTACAGAACATATTGCTCACTTGTACTGGTACTTCTCGTTTTTCATGGAGATCAGCTTTATTACCAACCAAAGCCATGACTATCTCAGGGCTCCCATGTTTACGTAATTCCTGCATTGTAAATAGTGACTTCAGCAAGAAAGAGATCAACAACATATATGGCAATATTTTGGTATACATATTTAACATTCATGTTTCTGATGATCTGGGCCTAGGAATGCCCATTAGGAATATAACCAGGTATTATAGTCTGTGATTAATGTGCAAGATTCATAGACTCGTGAGCATGCTACCAATGGCATTCTTCCCTATGATATACATCAGTATTGATGCTTGACCATAATTACAGCAATAATGTTGCTGTTGCTAACTACAAGTTTCAGCCTTGCAATAAAATTGAAGATGTACAATTAAGGTCCCTTGAATATACCTTGATCCAATACTGTGCTTTGGTAAAGGATTCAGGATTAGTTATATCATACACAACAATTGCAACTGCAGCTCCTCGATAGTATAGTGGTGCCAGTGCTGCATACCTATAAAAAAAATACAGGTTTCCTTATCATGATAAGTCTTCATTAAACAAAAAGAGAGGAATCAGCTCGGGATATATGGGTTGATTTTGGCAAAGAAATTTCATCCATATAATTGGGAAAGATAGAAATAACTATTGGAATATGAAATCTTTACCAATAATTAATTACCTCTCTTGTCCAGCTGTGTCCCATATTTCAAACTTCACTGTAGTTGAATCCTGCAAGGCAATTGTCTGAGACAAGAAAGAAGCTCCAACAGTTACCTGAAAGCATCAAACAATTCAATTATCAATAAATTTATCATCAACTTCATGTTGGATACCTTGGAGAAGTGAGATTCTGCATTCAATTATAGACTTGTGATTGACACATACACTGTTTTCCTTCTGGGTAGAAAAAGATGTTGTTCAACCGCTATATTGAGCATTTATAGCTTAGCTTAAAAAAATAGTTATAACTTTAAAGCAAGTTTAAAATACACTTACTTTTCTAATTATGTACATTTGGATAACTGTACCAAGCAATTTTATGCTTGACAAACTGTAAAAAATAGAGCTAAAGTGTCAAGAATCATGCTATGTTGCCCGAATTTTTTTGACACGATGGCTGAC